CCCACAACCTCACCAGGGATGATGCCCAGTCTCCAGGGAAGTTGTCACTTCCCGGCGTGGTACTCCCTTGTCTCCTTCCAGGTTTACCCCTCTTGTGCCCCTCCACATTCTCACCCCGTTCCCCTGCCCCCATTTAACCCTTTGTCATCCTTCAGCTCTTGGGTCAGCTGTCACCTCCTCCAGGAAGCCCTCCCTGACTCCCTTCATCCGGGGTCCCATAGTCTCCTGCCAGGTTATATCTCCCATTGGTTGTACCCACCCCCCACTAAGCCAGGAGTCCTGTGACTGGCATAAAGAGGACAATCAGTAAATATGACTGATTGAGAATGCCCTGGGTTGGCATGGCCCCCAACTTCCGCTCCTCAGGGGTCCCAGCGGGTGCTGGGGCTGCAGGAGGGCAGCTGCCTGGAAGTGCTGCTGACCCTAATCGCCAACACCACAGTGTAGGGAGCTGCCACCCACGCCAGCCTGAGGTGCTCAGCAGTGGTGCAGTCTGCCAAGGTCCTTATGTAATCACCCCCCAGCACCCACGTGGTGCCAGCCCCTGGAGAGCGAGATGGGTGGCCTCCAGATCTCAAAGAACAAATGCTCTCTGCAGCCCTGAGGGGCGGCCACAGGGAAGGGAGCCTGCAGGGCTGGGCCAGGGCTGCTCCTGTGTCCTTCCCCAAAAGGGAAGGAGCCTGGAACTGCCACCTGGGACCAAGGGTTGGAAGGGCTCTGACCCAGGTGGTGGTCTCAGCAGTGTTGGAAGAACCCCAGCTCCGGGGGTCACATCTGGGTGGGTGAGCACGGGGCTGGCACCCTCGTCTACTGAGTCCTGGCTCAGGGTGCGGGAGACTGTCCCTCTCGCAGGAAGCTGCAGGTGGCTGGAGGGCACAGCTTCCCAGTTGGAGACCTGGGCTCACTCTCAGATCCTCCAATTCCCCTTACCCCCACCCAGCCTCGCTCCCCCATCTGCTAAACAGGGACAGTGATGCCACCGTTCTGAGGAATCAGCGAGAAACACACGCAGGGCCCTTTTGTGTTAACAATTATAACAGCCACCATTCATTAGCCACATGAGGCTATTTGAATTTAGGTTCATTAAAATAAGAAATTCAGTCGGACTAGCCACATTCCAAGGGCTCAACAGCTACACGCGACTCAGTGGCTGCTGTACTGGACTGCTCAGTTATGGAACGTTTCCAGAAAGTTCTATGGGACAGCAGTTCACGCCCCTCCCACGGTCCAGGCACTGTGCTCAGTGCCTCCTGCATAACAGCTCAGAAAGTTTACCCTCATCAGTGGAGGTGACAGGGTTATTCACACAAGAAACTTCGGGTTATTTTTGAAAGAAAGGACATCTTGGAGGAGAACATTAAGAAATTACCAGGAGGAGCTGAGCCACCCGGAGCCGCCCGCCTGGAGCAGCTGATAATGAGGCTGGGTGAGGCCGCCTGGCCCCGGGCAGACTGGATCTGTTTGGCTGGCACCTGCCCTTCCCTGCCACCTGCCTGCCCCACACTAAAAATAGCTCCACTCCCTGCCCAAGGTTGCCACGGCAGTGCAGTTCTCTCCATAGTGCACACCTGCGCAGGTGGCTCCATGGATCAGCCAGCATCCGAGGGCCTGATTCCCGTGGGTCAGGGGCACAGCTCAGGACATGCTACAGAAGGAGTGAATGAGGGAATGACCCATCAGTAGACCTGGCATTGGGGATGTTTCGGGACAAGCAGGCGACCTCTCAGTGTAGGACACTATTCTCAGCCCAGGTGGCAAGAGGGACCCTGGCCCGCCCTGCCCACCCCACTTAGAGATGGTGGATTAGAACTCCTCGACTATATCCGTGACCCAGAGACCCCCACCCGCAGGCATCCTTACACGACGCGTGAATCCTCAGACACTGACCCTGTCCAGTTCAGTCTGATTCTCATAGTAGGGGCTTGCCTGCCTTCTAGTGCCTTGCGGGTTTTTTACTGGGCCTGGCATCTCTGAGTCTACTAGAGTGGTTAACTACCAGAATCTCCCATTTTGGAGTAGTATGTGGTTCTGCCCATGGGCCAATTGGAGGGCTTGGGGTTCAGGTCCCTGTTGTGCTCAGGTGCAACCAGGTGTGCCCAGGTGCTTGGGTCCCCGTCCTCTCCTCACCTGGCTGGGCCCTGGATGCTGATCATGCCCAGGTCCTCTGAGCTGTCGATGAGCTGGCACCGGAACCTCTGGTCCTGCAGCACCGAGGTGATGTGGGACCAGTTGTGCTGGGTCACAGCCCCGCCCACAGCCAGGTAGTAGCCGTCCCCTGGAAGAGAAGCACCCAGACTTGGCGCAGGATTTCAGAGATGGGGAGGTGGAGACAGGTCCTTGAAAGTGAACAAAACCAGAACTTAGTGACCTTCTGAGGGACCCTGGATTCTCATGGCCGGCAGGACAAAACTCAGGTCCTGCTCTTGGGCTGGGTGGAGGGGCTTGGGTGTGGGACCTCTGAGGGCTGCACATGCCAAAAGGCAGAGTCTGAGCCTTGCGCCCACTTCTCAAAGGCTTCCTGACCCAGAAAAGGCCAAGCATCCCAGTGCCATCAGGTCAGGGGAAAATTCAGTCCCTCCTCAGCCACCAGTGGCTGTGTGGCCTTGGACAAATCTCTTTTCCTCTCCAAACCTCGACATCCTCACCAGCTGTTTTTCCACCACCCCAGGTCTCTGGATTCCCTGCCTTGGCCATATCGGGGCTTGCTGGGGTCAGACTCTGGGCCGGGGGTTTTACAGGCAACACCCCATCCACGCCCCTGATCCAGTCCAGACGTTGATGAGTAACTCGTCACCACCCCCAGGTTTCAGAAAAGGGGACTGAGTTTCAGA